GTGTCGCCGTCAGAAGCCTTGGCAGGCGCCCGAGCCTCGCCCTGAGGTTCAGGACCAGGGGTCGCCCCCTTGGGCGGGGCGCTACCCGAGGGCCGTGCGCCACCATTGCCAGGTGGGTCTTTTCGCGGGGTTGGGAGGATCAGAGACATTCATCGCACGGTCTCCCCCACGCTTGGGCAGAACCTCACGTTCCACCTTGATCTGGTAACCTTCATGATTGAACCACACTTCCACAAATCCATTCAATTTCTCCGGAGCTTTGCAAGCTAACTTCATCCTCACAGGCCCCAACCTGATGAGGGACAGTTCATCCACCACAATCGGGCGACCTAGCATCCGGAACCCTTCCTTGATGCGGTCCTCATGCCTGTGTTTCTTTGGAATGCCGTGCAACCGAACCCAAGTCTCTGGCATGGCCACCGGCTGCAGCTCCTCATATAGCATATCCCGGACCGAGGCCGTGATGTCGTTGATCGAGAGGAAAAGCTTCCCACTAGTTTTTGCCATGTGCAGAAGATCTGCTGAAGGAAAGACCACCAAGAAATCGTTGTCGCCCACCTGAGTAATTTGCCAATCCCAAGATCCGGTCACCATGTGTTGCAGCTCCTGCTTGAGGATGCGGAGATTGAGCCTCCCTGGCTCAGCAGATAGGATGGCCGCATTCTCAATCCGAGCGTCCACATGCAACTCGCCCTCGGCCTCCTTGTCGAACTCCAAGCAGAAGAAATCCTCGCCGGAGATGGCGCTCCCCATGATCTGTAATTGCAGCTGTCGACCCCTCGTCGGGCAGTGCGCATACGCATGGCCCTCCTCCTTACACAGCACACAAAGGGGAGGGAACTTGCACTTGGACTGGTAGTGCCCGAGGCGTCCGCACTTGAAGCACTCCACGTCGGGCACCTCTTCCACCGGAATGGGTTCCTCCGCCGTGCCCTTGGAGGAGGAGGGAAAAGATACCGCTAATGGGTCTGCAGCCGCCCGCGGCTTCTTGGCCATCGGGTCACCATGGCCCCCCACCATAGTATGGATGTGCCTCCGGCTTCCTCTCGAGCTCACGCCGTCGCTGGTTGACCTTCTTCTTTCTTTCTTTCTTTCCTGCTGCTGGTTCCACCACGAGGGAGGAGGACCCCAATCCCCCTCGTGCCCGTCATGGTCACGGGAACCGCCGCGCTCGGCCCTGACCTCCCGACCATCCGCACGCTCCCGCATCGCGCGCTTTGCCTTGTCTCGCAGCTCACGCTCACGGCGCCGCTCCGCCTTCGGATCTGATACCTCCATGGGGCGCTTGTTCGCACGCCGATCTCCCATCACCACCGCCGCGAAGGATTTGTGGAGAGGGGGAGGGGAGTGAGATCTGGAGGGTGCGGGCGGAGTGAGCGAGGCGCCGCACCTCACTAGCAGTGGCTGGAAACCCTAAACTAGGGTCCAGACAGCCGCGTCTCAACCATATATAGCCAGAGACAGGGCATGAGGCAGGCCGAGGCGTCCCGGGCCTTGGGGGCCCATGAGGAAACACAACCAGGTCTAACTCTGGTCCCGTCTCGACAAACACGCCCGACCCAAGACAAGAGGAGCCAGCCGGCCCAGGCCCAACCGAACACGGCCCGACCGAACCAACCCTAGGTACTAGTGGGGACCGCGGTCTCGTCCGACCACCCGACGCCGCCGCCGCCGGCGCGGGGGCCGGAGGGGCCGGCAGGCACGGCCAGTCCTCCCTGGACGGCACTGCCCTGTCCACCACCAGGCTTGCCGCCGCCATGATCTGATGTGTCGAGCCGCTGTTGATGCTACCCCCTCGCTTGCGACCGCGCACCGCACCGCCGAAGGTTGCCAAATGCGCAGAGCCATGGCCCTGGAACCGCGCCCTTCCGGCACAAAGCGCCGCCCTCGCTCCGCTCCCAGGCCGCGCGCGTCTGCCGCGAAGGCCACAAAGTCGCCGATCGACGGACCCGCCGGCACCGCACGCATCTGCACCACGTGATCGTCCCCCTCGTCTTCATCTTCCAATTCCGCCGCCGATAATGCCCAAAAGCGATTGCAGTAGGCCCCAACCCCCGCCGGCAACGAACCAGCACGCACAGCCGACGAGCGCGCCTTAGGCGACCCCGCCCCGCGGCGAACCAAGGTCCAACCCTCCGGTGATGCCCCTCCCGCAGCACGCACCGGCGAAAGCACGCGGTCGCCAACGCAGTCGCCAGTCCGTACCCCTAACGGTTCACTCATTTCGAACTCCCTTTGTACATTTGATCACCATTGCCGTTCTGAAATATGACAGTGTTGTCGTTCCTGGATACGACATTATTGCGTCCAGATCTGACAACGTTGTTGGTCCTAGTTACTGTATGACATTTGGGTGATGGTTAAGTTGTTGGTCCTAGTTGATAAATTTGTATTGTATTTGAACTTGGAATTTAACATGTCTATATAAAGCATCTCTTTGACATGCAACATTTTTTATAGCTTCAAAACTTCAAAAGATAGTTTCAACGTGGATATTCTCTCGGCGCGGCTGTCATAGGTATCTTTGATTTGTAATTTGCATTCGACCAGACGGCCAAAGACGTGTGGGATCGATGCATGGACAGCTATCATGGACGTACGTACATACAGTGAGAAGAAGAATATGGAATGCGTCTAGTGCAGTGTAGTGCATGGACAAAAGATATGGCACGCCGGCATGCATGGATTTGCAGCAAAGCATAACCTAGGAAAAAGTATAATCTCGTGAGACATACATACATACATACATACATAAGTTTAATTTGGATATGTCATACCAGCTAGTATTAAAACTCTTGATACATCAGTTTTGCCCTGAATATATGAGTATCTTTATTTATTCTTTTGGGATCATGCATGATAGTACTTCTGACACCATGGAACGGACGGACGCGGCAACACGCGCACTTATACCATGATGTGTACAGTCATTAACCTCAGGTTACGACTTTGTTGTGCCCAGTTACAAAATGGTTCTTACCGGACACGGTATTGTGGCTCCCAGATACAACATTTTTACTCCCGGATACGATATTTTTGCTCCCACCTACGTCATTGTGGGTCCCAGATACGATATTGTGTTTCCCAATCACGACATGGTGGCTCCCAGACGCGGCATGGTTGCTCCCGGATACGACGTGATGATCCCCAGTTACAACATGGTTATTCCCATATACGACCTGATAGCTCCCGGATACGGCGTTGTCATTCCCAAATATTACAGTATTGTCGTTCCCGGCCATAACATTGTTGCTCCCAGATCTGACAACGTTATTGGTCCCAGCTATGACATTTGGGGCATGCTTACGTTGTCGGCGATGTTTGCTTATTCCGCTACGCTTCAGATAAAATGTCATATTCATGAAATTGATGCCCGATGAACACCCAGAGGTGTTGAGGCCCTTAGAACTCTTGGGTACCTCGCCAACTAATGTATTGTTGGAGAGATCTAAGTAGCAAAGATGGTCAAGCCTACCAATCCACGACGGAATGGCGCCAACCAATTGGTTGCGGGACAGGTCAAGCACCTTCATTTTCTTGCATTGAGACAACCATTCCGGAACCCTGCCCCTAAGAGCACAATCACCAAGATCCAGCACCACGAGGCTCTTGAACCCACCAATAATACCATCGGTCGGTAACTCCTCACCGTCAAAATTCTTGGTGAGAATTAGTGTGGTGACGTTCTGGCACCCACGCAGCACGGTGATCACCCCTGAGATGTTGCGCAAGCTGTTGTAGCCGAGGTCGAGCTCCTCCAGCAGCGCGAGGCCTGCGAGGGAGGCTCCTGGGATGGGCCCCACGAGGCCACGTCCGGGGAGGCGCAGCGCTGTGACGCGGCCGGTGGCACCGTCACAGCCCACGCCATCCCAGCCACAACATGCGGCGCCGGACCACGCGGCGCGAAGGAGGGCGCCCCCCCTGCTGAGGTTCGCGGTGAAGCCCCATAGCGCGTGGAGGTCGTCGGGGTGGCACGATGTCGCGCGCGCCTCGGGCGAGAGGAACGACAAGAGGAAGAGGAGGAGCAGCGGGCAACATTTGGCCATGGGATTCATTCAGGTGGAGTGAGTGATCTCTCTTGGTGGTGTGGTGTACAGACTGCTTGAGTGTTGCGTCGTGTTTTTATAGCAGATGTGCGTGTGCGTGTGCGTTGCATGCAGTGAGTGCCTGCCAAACTTGATTTGATTTTGGTGGTCTGTCGACTGGAGTGAAATTCATGGGTGCTCCTCCTCATCTATCTTTCTACTACGGAGTACTACTTTACTTCCCATCAAGGAAATAAAATGTATACTTTACCTGTCGACAGAGAGCACCTGCTGCCTGCCTGGCTCATAGTTTCTTGTCTTGCTTTTTTACTTTTTGCATTGCAGGGATAAAGTAAAATAAAATAATGCTTGTCGACACTAGCTTGTTTTCTACTAAAATAAAATAAAATAAAATCGATGTATCTTGTTCTTGTCAACCAAACTTTGTCCAAGCGTCTTTCTTTGATTAGCCTCCTTAATCGCAACACAATATTGCTAGTCTATGTATCTAGTATATGCTACTAGCTAGGTTGAGATTAGGCTTGAATTCCTCCAAATTCCTTCTTGACTGGTAAGCTGGCGAATGTTTTTGTTTTATACTTTTGCTATTCCGTTGTTTCTTTTTTCTTGATAGTGGAACCCTATCCTATCATATCCTTTGCTACGATTGTATGGAAAAGAAAAAGGAAATGAGGAACTTGCGGTGGGAGAAATATTCAGTGGGGTGACATACTATTGGAGGGCAGGAAGAATCGGAGTTGATGGTAAAAGACATAGATGATGCGTGTCTTGAAACTCCAAATGTTTTTTTTTTTTGGTAAGGGAGGGACAAGGCAAGACTCACTAAAGCAGAGCAGAGAGTATATTTTTTACCCCGACGGATGGCTTGAGGATATCCAGTATGGGCTTGGGCTATCCAGAGAATTTGGTTGGTTCCGCGAGAGGCCCGTTTAGCCAGGTGCTGGGCCGGCCCAAATGGAGAGGTTTGTTGAGGAAGGAGGCCCATCTCCCGTCCCGTGTGTTGTGGAGTACTACTTGTGTATGTGGTGTGGGTCGTCTCAGCCGCTCGCTTGGGGTCGGGTCTCGCCGTCGTCGTCGGTAGGTCAGGTCAGGGCAGGGCAGGGCAGGGCAGGTCAGGTCAGGTCAGGTGAGGTGGTGATGGCGTCCAGCCTCGCCGCCGCTTCTCCGTCTCCGTCTCCGGCGTGCTGCTCGCTCCAGCTCCACCTCCTCCGCCGCCCCGCCCTAGTCGTGTTTCCCAAAGTCGGACGCCCCCACCTCCGCCTCCCTCTCCGCCTCCGGGCCCAAGCATCCTCTTCCCCTTCCCCGGATCCCGAAGCCGAAGCCGACGACTCCTTCGCCGGCTGGTCGGACCAAGACAATAAGGATTCTGCTGCTGATTCAGGAGGAGGGCCATTCGGAGGTAGGTGACTCACAATACACTAATAAATATCATTTCTTTCTTTCTTTCTTTCTTTCTTTCTTTCTTAGCTGCTAAAGCAAACATTCTCTCACTACTGGCCTCAATCAAATTCAAATGCAAATGCAAACGCAGGCCTTGTTGGACCTGCCCTTGCTGGCCTCCTCTTCCTCGCCGGCGTCACATTCGCAGCAATCTCACTCAGACCCACAGGTAAACCAATAACCTACTCTACTGCACTTCACTTGTTGTTGATGATGCCCAAATCTTCTCCTTCCTTCCTTCCTCCCTTCAATCACTCTCTGACATTTCTTTCTCTTTCTACATATATACATATATGCAGGATCAAAGGCACCCATCCAAACCTTTTTGCCCACACACACTGAGGCAACGGCCGATACTACTCCTGACCAGCAAGAAGAAGCTGACGCTGACGCTGCTGCTGCTCAGGCTTTGTCACCAGCCGATGATACCCTGGATGCCACTAGTGAGGCAACGCCATTGCCTAATAATCTACAAACAGACGACAAAATACCCGAGGAAGCAGCTCAACATGATGACATGGACAACCACCAATTGGATCTGGATCGCGGCAGCAGTCACCTAGATCCGACCACCGATAAATACATTGCTTCACAAGATGACACTCCTGTGACTGATTCACCTCAATCTTTGGTCCCTGCTTATGATCCAACCTCTGAGGACGCATTATTATTATTGGACTCTGAACCCACTTTGCCAGAAAACCAGGATACTACTTTCACTTCAGATATTATGGTGCTGGAGTCCGGTGATGTTGTGCAAATATCTGACGCTGTGGCTGAGGTTAAACATTTACAAGATACAGAGCGGAATCCTCAACTTTCTTCTACTCAAGATGGAATTTCTTCTGCATCCACTTTTCCTGATTATGTGGCATATGGAAGCACTGACCGGATGCTTCCATCGGGCTCGAATGACTTACCCACTCAAGACGCTGACCAAGGAAAGGCGATACAAGACCCAGCATCAGACCAGGATCAAGGACGAAATGCCAAACCTTTCTCTTCTGGAATTGGAATTCCTGCTCCCTCTCTGCTCTCTGCAGCTTTACAGGTGCCTGCTGGCCACATTGTGGTTCCAGCGGCAGTTGACCCTACCCAGGGAAATGCATTGGCCGCGCTGCAACTTCTAAAGGTATTTCTTTTTTACATGTATATATTCTCTTCTCTTTTTTCAGGAACACCATTCATTGTTTCTTGTATCTCCTGGATAAGGGTTCTTGTTAGATCAAGCATCATTCGCTAGTTCTAGAATTTTATTTGAAACAGAAAATCTCTGTGTGGCCCTGAACCTATATATATATTATATTATTGGCTTCCTCATCAGGGTTTTGAGCTTATAGTGGCTTCTGTCTCTAGATAAGTTAAACTACCCTATTATATGTTGAATCATGCCTTGCTGCTTTCGCTGAAATCGTTACAACTTTCTCTAGGGAAAACCCCCATCTCATTTGCACAACGTAAGCTGTAGTATGGGGCTGATTGTTACAGAGACAACTTACTGAGTACACTCTCTAGGGAATTATATGGAATTCTTTCTTCAACTTTTATTCTCTTTCAAGGTGATTGAACCTGATGCTCGAGCTGGTGATTTGTGTACCCGACGTGAATACGCTCGATGGTTGGTAGTTGCAAGCAATTCCCTTTCGAGGTACATACTTCTCCTTGATGCATCTTCACCTTCCGGATATTGCTGCATCCCGCTTCTGTCTTTGTTCCTTGAGAGAAAATCCCAAGTCTCATTTCTGTCTTTTGAATGATTCATCCTCTTGATTATTTATTTCAGTAATGTTGTATCACTAGTTTATTTCTTATTGCTAACTGTTTCTGTGGATATTGCCTGTTACATAATAGAAATAAGAAGTAGCGGCAGGAGTTCACTTTTTTTTTCCCCTGTAAATCCAATCTGGCCTCCTGAGCGATTTCTTCCATTTAACTAGTTTATTATTGATCTGGTTTGCAACCGCAGGAACACTTACTCAAAAGTTTATCCAGCAATGTACATCGAGAACGTGTCTGAACTTGCATTTGATGACGTCACCACTGAAGATCCTGATTTTCCATTTATACAAGGTGAGAAATGGAAAGATTGTTATCACAGTTTATCTTGTTTATGCAAGCATGAGTGAATCAATAAATCATCACTGCTGAATTTTAGCCTCATCTATGTAAATGTACCCTCAGGACTGGCAGAAGCAGGGTTAATTTCTAGCAAGCTTTCAAGATCTGATATGAACATCGCTGAAAACATTCAGGACAACCATTACTTTTTCTCCCCGGACAGGTAATGGTCTTGTTCCACGCATCCACTTGACTCTCTGCGTGCTGTATGTGTGCGTGCGTTTATTGTGTCTAGCTACTAATCATCTGTCCTTGTTTCAGTCCCTTGTCACGTCAAGACCTTGTGAGTTGGAAGATGGCTTTGGATAAAAGGCAACTACCTGAAGTTGACAAAAATGTAAGGATATAAAAAAGTTAATAATATCTTCCATAATTATCTGTCTTGAAACCATCTGGTTATGCTGATATTAGCACTCTCTGCATGACCAGTCTTTGTACAAGACATCCGGCTACATAGACATTGATAAAATTGATACAGCTGCATGGCCTGCTTTGGTGGCTGACTTGGGTGCTGAAGACCAGAGCATCACGGCTCTTGCATTCGGTAGTCTTTCTTTTTATAAAATTTTGCTCACTTTTTGGCTCATGGACGATCGCTAAAACTCATCTTCTTAAAGGTTTTACAAGACTTTTCCAGCCAGACAAACCTGTGACAAAAGGACAAGCTGCCCTGGCACTTTCAACTGGTGACTATGCTGAAGTGGTTATGGAGGAGCTTGCTCGTATTGAAGCAGATAAAATAGCTGAAGCGGCTGTGAACGCTCATGGGGCATTGGTCGCTGAGGTGGAGAAACAAATTAATGCAAGTTTTGAAAGGGAGCTTACAAGGGAAAAGGAAAAAATAGAGACCCTTGAAAAGCTGGCTGAAGAGGCCAGGGCTGAATTGGACAAGTTGAGAGCAGAGAGAGAGGAGGAAAAGAATGCTCTGCTTAGGGGCAGAGCTACCGTCGAATCTGAAATACAAGTTCTTTCAAAGTTGAGGTGTGAAGTAGAGGAGCAGCTGCAGAATGTGCTGAGCAAGAAGGTCGAGATCAACTTTGAGAAGAACAGGATTGAGAAACTTCAAAAGGAAATCGAGAATGAAAACCAGGCTGCTGTGCAACTTCAGTACGAGCTTGAAGTTGAAAGGAAGGCTTTGTCTATGGCCAGGTAATTAAGATACTTTTTTGAGATTTCCTCTGCAATACATTTGTTTGGCGATACACTGAACCCATCTCTAATTTGTTTGGTGATGTACTTAATATGAGTACATACATCTTACTACTGCCACCATGCATCAAATCAAATTAACAAATGCACACATGTTGAATAACCAGGGCTTGGGCAGAGGATGAAGCAAAGAAGGCCAGGGAGCATGCTCGCGCACTCGAGGAGGCCCGGAACCAATGGGAGCGACAGGGAATCAAAGTTGTCGTTGAAGCAGGGCTTGAGGACGACGCATCGGCCGGAGTGACATGGGCTAATGCTGGCAAAGAACACCCAGTCGACGAGGCAATCAACCGGGCGGAGTCGTTGCTGGAGAAGCTCAAGTCGTTTGCTGGTGAGATGAAAGTGCGATCCAGCCATGCCCTGGAGAGAGTAATGCAATACGTGAGGTCCTTGATCTCAAGCCTAAAGCAGCGAGCGGCGGAAGCAAGGCAAGGGTGCGCAGATCTTGGGGCTGCTGCAGCCTCAAAGGCAAAGAATGTGTCATCAGAAGCCAAGGCGTTTGGTTCAAGCGTCGGGGACAGGTCGAAGAAGGTCGTGGAGGAGTGCAAAGATGGCTTGGAGAAGCTTGTGCACAGATTCAAGACAGACTAGCTGCTGGCTGGTAAAGAAAGCTTCACGTGTTGTGTATGTGAGACCAGACAATTTATAGCCGAAGAAGAGAGAGAGAGAGAGAGAGGAGCCATAGGAAGGAGGAATAAATTTCAGATGACATTTTGCATGATGCTGTAATGTGTACATTTTGGGTGTTGTTGTAAATGAATATGAACATACCGAAGGTGACGTAGCAGAGGTTGGTTCCATGGAATGGAATGGAATAATAAGCCCGTTTTGCTCTGTACGTTACGTTAATGAAATCAAACTTGAGTTTTGTTGAGTAAAGAGAGCTGGATGGAACAAATTGTAGTGTTGCTTACTCACTCCATGTTGAAATGTACTCCCTCTGTAAAGAAATATAAGAGCGTTTAGATCACTACCTCTGTAGTAGTGATCTAAACGCTCTTATATTTCTTTACGGAGGGAGTACAAAAATGTAAGGGGGCACGTACAGCACTAGAACAGCAAGGTGAGTTTTGTACACAAGAAGATTTACAGCACAAGCAAAGCATCAAGCATCAAGGAAGAAGATTTACAGCACAAGCAAAGCATCAAGCATCAAGGTTCTTGTTGTTCCTTATTTCTTTCTTTCATCGTACAGTACATGGATGCTAGTACTTGGTTTTCATCCCAAGAAGAAAGAAGAATTGGGTAAATGTAGGAGGATCCATGTATTCAGAGCTTGGATACTGGGTTCAAGCGCGCCTTGAGTTTGAAGATGAGCTCATGGACCTCATCAAAATGAGGGCTGGTGGCCTTCTTCACATTCTCCATCCAAGCGCGCACCTTGTCGTGAGGTCCCAGAATTCTGTCACGCCTCTCGTCACCAACAACCTGCAAATACGAAATTCCACTTTGAGAAACTCTACTTGAGCTGACGGCACACACATCTTCTTACAAGCTGAGAGACAAAAACATCATACCTCCAGCTGCATTATCTCGCACACGAGGCTGAGGTCTGCGATTGATGGCTGGGGGTTGCCATTCAAGAATTTGGCATCGCCTTTGAGCCACACGGTTTCGATCGTTCCCAGTGATCGCGACAGCAACTTCTCGGCCTCTTTTGCGGTTTCAGGATTCGGTGTGAGACCGAGAGCAGGACCCAACGCGGTGTGCAGTACATAGGTTGCTGCATATGCATGCAAGGATCCATCAATCAATCTCATCTCTTGAATGGAAGCTAGTATTATTATTATGCTATGCAAGAAGGATAAAATAGGGGAGGGGAGGGGAGGGGAGGGGTTGTGACCTGCACCACGGCGCAGATTAGAGTGATGCCAATCCAAGACAGACTCGAGTTTTGCTCTGGTAAATAAGTCAGCAGGGTACCTATATATGTATATGTCATGTGAGAAAACAAGTAATAAAATGATGAGTTGAGACTATGAATCAAGTAGTAGCCGTCCTTAAAGAAAAGAAACGAAACGAAACGAAACGGGGCAATGAAAGAATAAATGTAGCCCTTGTGAGAGCAAAATAATTATGCGAATGATCCATGTGTAGCCCTGTCCCTGTGACATGATACAACTCCAGCAGCAGTTCTAAAAGTCGTTAATTATTTAGGTAGTTGATAAGAGAGTGAATAAAGTGAATTCCCATGGGTTGGGTCATATACAGTAACTCATACTGTAAGTAGTAGTAGTGGTAGCAGTAGCAGTAGTTGTGACTTGTGAGAGAGGAAGGCAAGGTTAGGTTAGGTTAGAGGTTAGGTTAGGGAAGGGAAGGAACTTACCAGTGATCTGGAACCCCGGGGAAGACGGTGGCAAGATACCTCAGAATGGCATGGCTGACAGGAAGAAGAAACATAGTAATTAGTAGAGTAGGCGCAAAGGATGTAAAACTGTGCAATGAGTGAGTGAGATTAGTAGAGCTTGAGAGAGAGCATGAGTATGAGGGTAGTGAGATTGAACAACACTATCACTATATATCAAGGAGCAGCAGCAGCAGCAGTTGGGAGACCTTTCATTCAAATAAAAACGCAACTACCTTTCAAATAGTTTGAATCTTCCATCGACGATTGTTGGGACCTGTGCCATGGGGTTGATTTCTGAAGCAAGCAAATCAACAAGGAAGGAAATCAACAAGGAAAGAAGTCAACAAGGAAATCAAGAAAAAGAGACAGACTTACTGGTGAACTCTGGTGCGCGGTGTTGTCCCTTGGCGAGATCCACGGTGAGCTCCTGGAAGTCGATCCGGTTGACCTTGCACAAGATGATGATGGCGCGCGACGGCTGCGACAGCCGGTCCGCATACACCTTCAACAGCGCCATCGCCATCCCCTTCCTTCCTTCCGGTCGCTTGCTTAGGATTGGGTTCGGTTCGATTCGATCCACACTTTCCTCACCTTGGTTGAGAGTAAGCTCTTGCCTACGAGACAAGAGGAGAGAAGAAGAAGAAGATGAGAATGAGAATGAGATCCCCTTCCTGAGTTCACACTAGGGCATACACTGACGTCATCAACATCTATCTTTTTCCCAACCAACGCACGCACGCTACATAACCATAAACAACATCATCAACAATTTGGGGAAAAAAAGTTCATGAATTTGAACAAAAAATCCATTAATTTTCAAATACCTTGATTTTTATTTTTTTATTTAAATAAAATGTTTGTAAATTTGAAAAAAATTTATGGTTTTTTAAAAATTTCCAAATTTGTTGATGAATTTGAAAAAGATTCATAATTTGAAAAACAATTGCAAAAATGCAAAAATGTTCATGAATTTGAAAAAGGTCACAAATTTGCGTAAAAGTTTTAGAAACAATCGCAAAAAAATAGAACAAAAACGAAAATGGAACCAATGAAAAAAGAGAGCAAAACAAGTGCGGATAAAACCCTGAAACAAATAAATAAAACAGTCCAAAAAACTGATGAAGGGGAACAACTAGATTAATGGACCAGCCCATTTATCACGTACTCATCGCTGCCCTATAGCCAACCAAAATTGTTCCCACAAATTCCATTCACCTAATATTTTCCGTCTCCCCTAGGGTTTTTCGAGGGCTTTCTATCCTCCGGCGATTCCCATCCAAGTACCCAATTTCCTCACATCCTCGACGTAGCGATCGTCCCCATTTTGTACGCCACGGCTGGCTATTCGCCTCTATCAATAAATGCCCCGCGCCCTGCTACGGCAGGTAGTACGCTTCCCATGCTCAACTGGGCTTGGTCTTCTCGAAAGCCACAGGAGGCGGGAGGGGGTTGGCTACAACAACTTGGCTTGGATTGGACGGCTACAACCTCCTTCACTTTAGTCTCCTTCCTCATGTTTCTCATTTCTCCATGGACGAGCTTCCATCCTCTCTGAAATTTGAGATGTAGTCGGATCCTTGCTCCAGCTGAGTGAAACCAGTAAGCTTTGAGTCCGATAGTGCCCATACACATCTAGCCATTGTACAATCAACCAAACACCCACATGTCCTCAGCCTTGGTAGATTGTGCATCTCACTGTTCTAGCCATGTTTACGTGACGAAGCACCTCTCCCGTGGGCAGCAATTGCCGAACCAGTCTCCAAGCGAACACCCGAACCTTTGATGGAGCTTTTGTTTTCCATAGCCATAACCAACACTCCTGACTCTTCTTTAAGCCTGAACTCGTCCTTCCCTCCAACCAGTCCTCTCTAAATTTCTTCGTTGTTATAAACATTATGTAGAACGAATGAATAGTAAAACTTCCTTTCTATTCATGGAACCAGGCCAAAAGTTATCTTGATGCCGTGTGCTAATCGATATTTTGTGGATTGCATCAATATCCATTGGGAGATGAAAATAATTCTACCAAGACTTGTTCGTTCCAACTTTCAGATGCATGATCATTCAGATCTAAAACCTTAATTCAATTTACTATTTACTCCTGACTATATTTCAATTATATAGAAATGATGAATATATGCCACAAGTTAATATAGTAAAAAAAAATGTATTCATAAATATAATTTAAATATAATCCATAGGGTATAAATGTTTACATTGGTAAACAATTTTTGTATTTACTAAATGGTTTCAATATAATACACATGTAAACAAGTGGATATTTTAAAATCACGTGAACATTTTTTTAATTAGTTATTTTATTTGTACGCATAATATTTATAATACATAAATATTGGAAATTTATTTTTATTACTGTGATTATTATTTTACAAATTTCTATAAAAAACACTAACATGTGCAAAATGGGCTGCAGCCGATTTGAAACCGACGAACGTGTTCCTTTACAAAATAATAAGCACCGTCATCATTACTAGAGATAAGAAATACAGTTGTGGAGTGGGTAGCACAACCTGTCCCAAGCGTGAGGGCGGTAATTCAAATTCCCATGGCGTTGATTTTTCCTTCGTGCCGATATGCGGGGCCTACTAGTCATAGATATTTATACTCTCTTTGTTTTTATTTATTCGGCATATTAGATTTGACCTAAATTAAACTGTATAAAGTTGGACCAAGTTTATCTAAAACAATCTAAACTTTCACAGTAAAAAAATATATAGTATGCAAATATATTGAACGATGATTCTAACTGTATTGATTTGTTACTGTAGATGCTAATATTGTTTTTGTAAACTTGGTCAACGTTTAGAAATTTTGACTAGAGACAAAACTCAAGGGTAAATGGACCGTCGTCAGTCTCATTGCCAAATTCTCCAGCAAAAAAAAGGTCAAATTAAGTAGTCAATTAATTAGGAGTGTCGGTTTGATTGCGTAGCGGCGGCGGCGATGGAGCAGATGCCCACTGATTAATTAGTCAGGCCGCCTAGCAAAGAAATTATAGGGGTATTTGTTTCTAGGGACTTTTTTATGTAGGGATTAAAAAAAATCTCTTTTAAAGATTTTTTTTATCAAACGATAGAGACTTTTAGAGACTAAACTAGACATTTGGGACTAAATGAAGAAGACTCTCAAGGAGAGTCTTTTTGGGACTTTTCCAACAATGCCCCTCCATGCACCCATTGGCCCGCCCCCCATGGTGTTGTTTGATTGTTATTTTTCTATATATTAAGGGCAACATGGTCATTTAATAACCTCTAGAAAGGGATTAAGGACATTTTAGTCTCTGAAAACAAACAGGGAAAGACTTTTTAGGGACTAGAGACTTTTTAGTTGGGACTAGAAAAAGCCCTAGGACTTATGAACCAAACAGGGCCTAGGAGTGTCGGTTTGATTGCGTACCGGCAGCGGCGATGAAGCAGATGCCCACTGATTAATTAGCCAGGCCGCCTAGCAAAGCAATTATATATAGATGAAAGAAGTATACAAATCACCCTCAAATCTACTCTTTGACATACATACCCCCTAAACTCAAAACCGGGATAAATAACACCCTGAAATTACTCAAACCGGGTTAATAACCCCCTTAACGGTTTATATGTAATCTGGAGCGGTTTATGTGCGCCCATAATTCTGATTAGGCGCTGACTGGGCAGAGAATGCTGAGTAGGCCAGTGTGGGTCTGCACCAGGATCGCAACCCCCAACAAACCCCAATCTCCATCTCGTCTCCGCCTTTCTTTCCTTTCTTGGCCGCCGCCACCCGCCATGGTGCACTGCAAGCAGCCGCGCACGAGGCCCGGCGTCCTCGGGAACGGGGGCCGCGCGCGCGCCGGGGGCGGGGCCGAGGCCATGGCGGCGAGGGCGCCCGCGTCGTCGGACCCTGGCTACATGAGGCCGAGCAGCAGCTCCGGCGCCAGGGCCGGCCGGGAGGCTGCTGCGGCGACCTCCACTCACGCCGCGCAGCTGATGGGGGCCAAGGCGGTGCTCGTTGGGAGCACGCCGTGCGCGGCCAGGTAGCTGGGGCACCGCGCATGCCGGTACGCCTACTGTTGAGTATATATATTATGTGCATATTGTGTATTGGGCCCGTCTCCTAGTTCTTTGTATAGTTAAGGTCCGTGGTCCACCTTTGTACACTATATATACGTGCCTATGCACGAGAGCAATACATCATGCAATTCACATAATCTACATGGTATCAGTTTTTAGGTTCTAAACCTAGTCTTCCGCTGCCGCCGCCGCGCACCTCCTCACGCGCCGCCGCCGCTCGTGCACACCTCCTGCGCCGGCCGCCGCCGCTCCTCCTTGCCGCCGCGCGTCCCCTTCCTCCCGCGCCGCCGCATCCATCCGCAGGCCGCCACTCCCTTCGAGCCGCCCGCCTGCTTCCCTCCCGCGCCGCCGCACCCGTACTGCCGCCACACCTCACACTTGCTAGCCGCGCCTTGCATCGCTAGGCAATCCCCGCATCGCCAGCTCCACGTGAAGACCTAGTCAAACCATTGGGCATTAGTACCAGTACTTCTAGTACGTGAGCAATTCCACAAATCAACTCGTTCTTTGAGATCCTATTGCTTTCTCAAGTCCTCCGTGTAGCATCGCGTCGCCCGCTTGCTAGCTTCGCCTCGCCCGCCATACAGCTCGTCACCCGCCATGCAGCAAGGCGCATTGCCAGCAGGGCCATACGGCGCGTCGCCCGCGGGGCCAGCAGCGCCTACAGCTTTATACGGCGCCATGCAGCCCGCGATGCAACCAGGCGCGTCGCCCACGGGGCCATACGCCTCGTCACTCGCCATGCAGCAAGGCACGTCATCAGCAATGGCGTCAACCGGACCGTCCGCCGCCGCTACTGCCATCCCGCCGCCGGCACCCTCTGTCGCGGCTCCGCCGCTGGCGCTCTTCAGCCAGTCCGTCATCGCCCCACCGCCGGCGCCCTCGGGTGCAGCTCCCCACGCGCCTGTTCCCACGTACGGGGCGTACGGAGCTTCGCCCGCGTACGGGTCTTCCGGGTATTGGTGACGGTCTCAGCGGGCCAGCAGGTTTTTTTCGGCGGATCATCCGGCCTACCTGGCACCGCAATTGCCTCCGAGGCTACTGTCCACACCGTACGGGCCTTCCGCCCCTCTCGCACCTCATGCATACTACGCGGCTCCGCAGCCGTATGGAGAGTACCCACCGCCGCAGCTAAGCGGCGCTTATGGCTTTCCCATGGCGCCTCCGTCTCCCTCACCGACTGTCGGTGTCAAAACCGGCAGATCTCGGGTAGGGGGTCCCGAACTGTACATCTAGGCCAGATGGTAACAGGAGGCAGGGGACACGAAGTTTTACCCAGGTTCGGGCCCTCTCAATGGAGGTAAAACCCTACGTCCTGCTTGATTAATATTGATGGTATGGGCATTACAAGAGTTGATCTACCACGAGATCTGAGAGGCTAAACCCTAGAAGCTAGCCTATGGTATGATTGTTGATGTGTATGTTGTCCTGCGGACTAAAACCCTTCGGTTTATAT